TCTCTCTCTCTCTCTCTCTCTCTGTCTCTCTCTCTCTCTCTCTCTCTGTCTCTGTCTCTCTCTCTCTGTCTCTCTCTCTGTCTGTCTCTCTCTCAGCTGTCAGCTTCCATCAGTTTGTTACAGAAGGAAAACGACTGGAAGCTGCACAAATATCCAGGAGGTTTAAGAAATCAGATCGGACCTGAAGCAGAACCGAAGCTGGTTCTGACCCAGAAACAGAACCTACATGTTTATATTAGAGAAACTGCTGAAGAGGCCGAGACTGAAACTGGTTTCTGCTTTCAGAATAAGACGTCCTGATGCTGCTCAGTAATCCAGATTAAATCCAGAATAAGCTTAACTTTGTTAGATTCAGACGTTCTTTTCATGTGGAAGCAGCAGCTGCTTCTTACCTGAGTTGGATCATGGAGGTGTTCTGTACCTGAGTGGGTCTGCTCGGTGATCGGCACCGTTCATCGGGACCCATCACAGAGTTCTACTCCGAGTAGAACGAGCTGCTCTGAGCGTACAAGGTTCTGGTTCTAACTCCATCTGCTCGCAGCGCTGTTTGATGCTTCAGGTTCTGTTTGCCTGAACAGAACCGGGTCAGAAGTTCTGAAACTGACCGAGTTAACTTCACTGACAGCATTTAACTTAACACTGAACAATAATGTTTTTGCTCATGTGTGTTAGTAAAATATCTCATGATGCAGACGATGGATTAATTTAACCCTTCAGTAATTGTTGCGTGTTTTTCTAGAAGTGACGGGTTCAGCCTGATTCAAGATGGCCGCCACAGCTAAGAAAAACCGCTGGGTCTTTGGTTTCAAACGTTTCGTGATGTTCTGATCGAAGCTCCTGTCTCCAGACTCATTTCAGATTAAATATAATCCCATTCTGAGTTTTCTTCTCCGTCCATCACAGATGTGCAGGTTACATGATCGCCCCTGAGCGGAGTCCGCAGGCGAAGGACTAACTGGAACCTGTTTCTGTTTGGTTCCAGGTAAGTTCACCTGCATCGAGGTGCGGTTCCACCTGGAGCGTCAGATGGGCTACTACCTGATCCAGATGTACATCCCCTCCCTCCTCATCGTCATCTTGTCCTGGGTCTCCTTCTGGATCAACATGGACGCCGCCCCGGCCCGCGTGGCGCTCGGCATCACCACCGTCCTCACCATGACCACGCAGAGCTCCGGATCCAGAACTTCTCTGCCAAAGGTCTGACCTGGTCCGGCTTCAGAACACTCTAAACTTTGTCTTCATCATGTGTTAATAATAAACTTCAGCCGCTCAGTAAAGATCCAGATGTTGACAACAGGCTTTGGACCTAAAACAGGTTTTTACTCCAGAATGACCAGGCAGAGTTCAAGTATTTTTACTGAACTGGGTAAATCACGGGTCTGGTTCAGGTTCTGCTGGGCCTGAACCAGAGCAGCATGCAGGTTTCTGTGCTGTGGGAGGAAACTGGAGCACCAAGAGAAAACCCACAAGGAGAACATGCAAACTCCACACAGAAAGACCCCAGGTCCAAACCGGGGATTGATTACAGGACCTTCTTGCTATGAGGCAACAATGATAACCACTAATCCATCGTGCTGCCCTAAAGTTTGATTCTGATTTTACTTCCTGTTACAAAGTAATGTTTAGAATAATTATCCTCCCTGTCTGAGCTTTGAGTCGGTTAGAAAACAGCAAAGTGACCAAAGCTCTGAAGGTTTTACCCACATTCAGCTGCAGCTGAGGCTCCGCCTCCTCAGCACAGTCTGCACGAGACAGGAGCCGAGGCTCCGCCTCCTCAGCACAGACTGCACAGACGTGAGCTTTTCTTGTCCTGCAGCTCCAGGTTACCTTCGAGGCCGAGCCTCAGACCAGGTTTTTCTGCAGGTAACGAGTCAGAGCTGCAGCCTGTCTGCACCGAGGGGGTCCACAGGAAGTCGGTTCTGGTTCAGAGGACGGTAGAACCTCTGCAGATGTAGGAGGTGGACATGTTGCTCCAGATTCAAACGTTGAGAACTATTTGCTGTTGCTCAGCAGACTGAGCCTCATCGCTGCATTTATTAATAATAAACTTACTCCTCAGAACGGCCCAGTTCATGTGTTCTGACTGGACTGAAGGTGAGAGGTTCTACAGAGGAGGGAACCGGGCCGCTGTGAGCAGACCTGAAAGGCCTCCTTCATTATACTAATGGATGTTGTGCATGAGCGTGTGTTGATTACACGCATCACACGTCTGCTGGAGCATGAGCGAGGACGAGCCCCTCGGTCCTCCTCTGGTATCGTGTATGCATGAGATCCGATCCGACACGGAGCGCAGCCTTACGTAACGCCGCTCTACTCGCACGGCGCACGGACATGGCCTCAGAGTGTGTGCGCACGTGGCTGTCAGGAGGTCCGGTGTGTGCGTCAGGGCGTTTGTCGTGTTCCTGCAGCTGAACAGGACTTTGCACTCCGACACGCTACACGCGTGTGAATAAGTCATTCTGTCACAGTCGGCAGCAGATCGGACCGATAACTCGCGTGAACGCCAACTTCTGGATAACTGCTGACATCTGCTGAAACTGAGCTGAAAGCTAAGTGTAGCACAACATTAGCTGAACGCTAAAAGTACTAACTTCCACAGACGTACTTTGGACAGATGTTTACCCAGAATGCACTGCAGCAGACAGCTCCTCCCAGCTGTCAGCATGGTGGTGGAGGCTGATGGTTCGGGCTCCTGTCAGTCACTGAGTGGACCAGAACTCCTCTGTAGACCAAAGGGTTCTGGAGTCCAGTAGATGAAGCTTGGACCAAACTGGGTCCAACAGAACCATGATCCCAAACACAGCAGCTGAGCTTCAACAGAACGGGTCAGAAAGAACAGAACCAGTGGCCCAGTCAGAGTCCAGAACCTGAACCTGACTGAAATGCTGTGGTGGACCTTCAGACAGCTGAGCAGAGCCCTCAGTGATGGAAAGATGAGTGGACCAGAACTCCTCCAGAACCAGGAGAGAGACTGATGTAGTCCTACAGAAAACCACTGAGGGTTCTGCTGCAGGAGGAGGTTCTGGATCAGGACTGGAACCAGGTTCTGTTGAATAAATGACTCAGTTTGTGATCGTCGTGGTTCAAAGTTAAGTCTTTAAAATAAAGAATAAACCACATGTAGAACCCGAACGGACTGCTGGATCAGCCCTTGTGTGTGTGTGTGTGTGTGTGTGTGCGTGTGTGTGTGTGCGCGCGCGCGCGTGCGTGCGTGCGTGTGTGTGTGTGTCCTCAGGTGTCCTACGTGAAGGCCATAGACATCTGGATGGCCGTGTGTCTCCTGTTTGTCTTCTCGGCGCTGCTGGAGTACGCCGCCGTTAACTTCGTGTCCAGACAACACAAGGAGCTGCTGCGCTTCAGGCGGCAGCACAAGAACAAGAACAAGGTACACAAACCCCTCAGAACCAGTGCGCCAGAACCCGCAGAACCATGGAGGAGGTTCTGATGGTGTCAGACTGCCCCCGTGTGGAGCAGCTGAGTCACTGCAGGACTAAAACTGGAGCCAGTTAGGAACAAAAATGCTGAATCAGGAAATGCAAAGCATGACTCTGCATGTTCTCTGCATGCGTGTGCTGTTGATTGACAGGTCGGTTCTGCATGTTTTGGATCGGACTGACCCGGCTTCAGTCAAACAGAAGCAGGAAGTCTTTAATTAAAAACAGGATAACAAACATTTTTCTTCAGATACTTTGATTGGAGGGAGACTGAGTTTTCTGAGTGACTGAGCGGTCCGGTCTAGTTGTTTGTTTGTTTGTTTGTTTGTTTGTGACGCTCACTGGTTTGCATGCTGTCGGCCGGTAGAGCGGCGGCGTTGATCCAGAGGAGCTGGCTGAGTCTCTGCGCCGCGTTAACTCTGACAACGACCTCAGAGCGCCATCAGAACCTTCGAACGGATCCATGAGCAGCGCCGGCACCGGCCAGCACCGGGTAAACACACCGTGCACGTGTGTGCGTGTGCATGTTTGCATGTATTTGTGTTAAATCAGCTGCAGGCAGGAAGATTCATGTTCCTGACACTGAAATAAAACAACAAAGATCAGAAAATAGAACTGGAGGAGTTTTAGTAAACAACAACAGCATGGTCTGTTAGGAGGAGTTTTAATAAACAACAACGGGGCCTGTTTGGATTAATTTTAGTAAACATAAACAACAACATGGTCTGTTTGTACCTTTTACCCTGATGACTCCTGATGGTCCAGCTCAGGTCCACCTGTGTGTTGTCCAGATGTGAACACCTGTTCAGGTTCCTGTCCTCGGTGTCAGCTCGTTTAAACTCAGCAGGTAAAGAAGAACTCACCTGGACTCAGACAGGTCCCGCCTCCGCTGATCTGTCCACAGCATGATGCTGCCACCGCCGTGCCTGACAGTTGGTTCAGTGCTCTGAGGTCTGAGAGCCTCTTCTTGACTGATCCATGCGTCCTTCTTGTCTTTGTGTCCAAACTGCTCAGTCCATGTCCCATCAAACCTTTCTCCAAAAGACATTTGTCTCGTTCATGACAGCTACAGGTTTCAGTCCAGCTTGAAAGTTTTGAGCTTATTTCTTGGTCCTCGTGGTCCCCTTGGTGATGTCAAACAGTCTTCACTGGTGGACAGGAACTCTGGTGGACAGGGACTCTGGTGGACAGGGACTCTGGTGGACAGGGACTCTGGTGGACAGGGACTCTGATGGACAGGGACTCTGGTGGACAGGGGCTCTGGTGGACAGGGACTCTAGTGGACAGGGACTCTGGTGAACAGGGACACTGATGGACAGGAACTCTGGTGAACAGGGACTCTAGTGGACAGGGACACTGATGGACAGGAACTCTGGTGAACAGGGACTCTAGTGTGCAGGAACTTTAGTTGACAGGGACTCTAATGGACAGGGACTTTAGTGGACAGGGACTCTGGTGGACAGGGATTCTGGTGGACAGGAACTCTAGTGAACATAAACTCTAGTGGACAGGGACACTGGTGGACAGGAGCTCTGGTGGACAGGAACTCTAGTGGACAAGAACTCTGGTGGACAGGGACTCTGGTGGACAGGGACTCTGGTGGACAGGGACTTTGGTGGACAGGGACTCTGGTAGAAAGGGACTCTGGTGGACAGGCACTCTGGTGGACAGGGACTCTGGTGGACAGGGACTCTGGTGGACAGGGACTCTAGTGGACAGGAACTCTGGACAGTGACTCTGGACAGTGACTCTGGTGGACAGGGACTCTGGTGGAGAGGAAC